AAATAAAAATTAAAGACAAAACAGTCAATATATCTCTATAAATACCAATGCTAAAAAAAAAAACTTTTTTGCCTCAGTATTTTTATAGTTCCCTGTAGGTAATCGTTTCCGTTTTTATTTTAACGAATTATCCTTTATTTTCATACCAAAATCCGAAAGTACGACAAATGCTATTTCAGAAACCGAATAAGTCTTATTTTCCGTATGGTTCCGATCCATTAATGCCGTAAGGGACCATGTCCCTTACGGCATCAAGCAACGCTTGATGCGTCATCTCCCTTTGCCATCCTTGCACAACAAATTCATTAATTCGCTGTCAACCTCGGATTGTCTGCCATCAATGTCTTTTGTGGGTGTTAAATTTTTAAACCGACTTTCCTCATATTATATATCAGCAATGTAAACGGTTTCCCGATTTTAAGTATAACTTTAAAAAATTCTCGTTTTTCTGATATTAAGTTCATAGAATTCTGTAGAATTACATCACTGCCGTTTTGGGTAACCTCTACACCCAGAGAGAAATTCTTTATCATTCATTGTCATACAGGAGGAGAGATATGACATATTCATGCAACACAATTTTCTTTGCCGCAAATTTGTTTCATATTTCTTAATATTTGCTTAGTTTCCGGAAGCTCTCTTTCGTTAACCCGTTACCCTTTTGGATTTCTGCTGTATTTCCTTTCGTCTGTTACGACACTAGTCAGATAGTTGACACAATAAACTCTTCGCAATCCAGTCTAGACTAGGAGAATGGAAGTCAGATTTCAGAAAATCTTGGAGAGAAGTAGTACTGGTCCGCTACACATTGGCCACACGAGAATAACCCACTAATACTTGTTAAAGAACGAAGATGAACCAATATGCCAAGCATGTACAACGATGTACACTGTTAAACATATATTAACTGAGTGTCCAGACATTGCTCTCTATTTCTGTAATATAAAAAACATGTAAAGAACCTCGAGAAAGAAAAAGTAGATGACAGGAAATAATTTCTTTAAACTGTGGACCACTACAAAAATATATAAACCAAATAGGAATGTCAATAAAAAACTGTATATGTCAAAAGAATACATCATTGAAACAAGACTCTTGAGAAAAACTCTCTTTTGAAAAATGTTCCAATGAAACGGGATCAATAAACTGAATACATATTCTATTCACACAAAACCATTGTACGAATCTTGTCGGCATTAAATAACCCATTGCTGTTGATATGTCGTAAAAGAAAACAAAGCAAACCAGATAGTATAAATGTCTGCACCTGCTTGATTAGGCTATTTCCAGTTTGAAGATCGTGTCTTTGCCTGACTATCTTGTTGCCCCCTTATATTCTTTTCTTACTGACGACATACCAGAAAATCTGAATGAAGCCATATCGATAGTGATGTCAGTGAAGTCGGATGAAAATGAATGTGAGCTCTATTGGACAATCGCTTTAATTGATCCCATATATAACTCCATAATCAGAATTCGAATGAACAAATCTCGACATGATATTTAGACCAGAGAACAGTGTATTGTTTTTTTGTTCAAGACATTGTAAAAAATGCTATATTTTAGGATCAAAATGCTATCAGATGGAGCAATACAAATTGGGTGCATAATTAATTTCAACTCGGAACTAATTTCAACCCGGAATGAATTTCAACTTGGAACTAATTTCAACTGGGAATTAATTTCAACTCGGAATTAATTTCAACTAGGATTTAATTTCAACTCGGAATTAATTTCAACTCGGAACTAATTTCAACCCGGAATTAATTACAACTCGGAACTAATTTCAACTCTGAATTACTTTCAACTCGGAATAAATTTCAACTCAGAACTAATTTCAACTCGGAATTAATTTCAACTCGGAACTAATTTTAACTCGGAAATAATTTCAACTCGGAAATAATTAATGGAAGTTGCAGAAAAGATGAATTCCGAATTATCTTGTCTACTAAAGATTTTTAAGGCGAAATTAAAAAAAAAATTAACAACTCATTGAATTTTGTTTAGGAATTCACGGAAATTGATAAGTTTGATTTTAAATCAAGTTGAAATTAATTCCGAGTTGAAATTAGTTTGAATTTGAAATTAATTCCGAGTTGAAATTAATTCCAAGTTGAAATTAATTCTGTCATTCTACATAAGCAATATGAACTCTACCTATGTTTCGTAGATAAAGCAAAAGCATTACATAATGCACGACCCCAAAAAACCCGGTTTGACCTATTAGGTAAGCTCTGCTTAAACGAGAAATATATTAGGATTATCCGGAGCTGCCCCAGGGAGCACACCACCTCTCTGCGGATAGCAAATGCGTTAAGCAAGCATACGGATATCATTCTCGCCGGATTTATTTACAGTGTACACGGGGTCGGTCCTAAATGAACTAGAATTCGTATTAGGTTTTATTTTCGGTGAATATAATATTAACAATATAGGATAAATGAATGGCACTGAACAGATAACACGCAAGCGAAAGAATAGGAAGTCCCAGAGGATTTTGCAAAGGAAAAAGTGAAAAAAAGTAATAAACATTAACTATAGCATAACAGAATGTATAGTTGCGAGTAAATGAGGTAGCAAAATAGGTGAGTATCAAAGTCGTTGCAGGTAATACAATTGTGATACCGGCCTGGGTATGGCGATAAACTACATCAGGCAGCAAAGACACTGATCGGGAGGATTTGGAGAACGTGGTACAACCTCTTAATTGCTGTTGTTTCTACATCCAGTCCGACCCTGTGTGGTAGCACCTGTTAGGGTCCCACCCATGGGCAAAACAGTTAAGCACCAAAAATTAGATCAGATCACTATGAAAGTATAAAAATAGATATTTGTAGTAAAAATAAGAGCAATACATTTTTGAAAAGAAGAAAAAAATTAGCAGCCGTACATTTGACTCTCAATGAAATTCCCTTAAAAAAACATCAATGAAACCTGAAATGCAAACTGATTTCGTACAAAGAATACATTTTCTATTAATACGAATGTAGTCTATAAACCTTTGTTAGCATTAACTAACCCATTCAGGTTAATATGCCGTAGAGCAAAACAAAACACTCCAAAACAAGCGTGATATTGATCTTGTGTAAGACTCCATTTAGAATTTGTTTTAGACTACGTTTCAGCCTTGTTAGAGAGTAACGTGGATCTTGTGTTAGACTGCAATTAGAATTTGTTTTAGACTACGTTTCAGCCTTGTTAGAGAGTAACGTGGATCTTGTGTTAGACTGCAATTACAATTTGTTTTTGACTACGTTTCAGCCTTGTTAGAGAGTAACGTGGATCTTGTGTTAGACTGCAATTAGAATTTGTTTTAGACTACGTTTCAGCCTTGTTAGAGAGTAACGTGGATCTTGTGTTAGACTGCAATTAGAATTTGTTTTAGACTACGTTTCAGCCTTGTTAGAGAGTAACGTGGATCTTGTGTTAGACTGCAATTACAATTTGTTTTAGACTACGTTTAAGCCTTGTTTGAGAGTAAGGTTTATCGTGTCCTATACTGCATTTATTATTTGTTTTAGACTGCTTTCCAACCATGTTCTGTGTTAGTGATTTTGAATTTTTTTAGACTTTATTTAAACTTGTTAGAGTAAGTTTCTTTGTGTTAGTCAGTGAATAATATCGATGCTGTGTTAGTCTTCATTTTGAATTTGTTTTAGACTTTGTTTCAGACTTGTTAGAGAGTAATGTTTAATTTGACTTTTTTTAGGTTGTGTAAGATAGTTATTTATTTGTTTTAAAATGCATTTTCGAAATTGTTTTAGAGCCTATTTTTTAATGTAACTTGTGTTAGACTGTATATAGAATTTGTTTTAGACACTTTTCCATTGTTAGTTAAAGAATAATGTGATATATATATATATATATATTATATATTTATATATATATATATATATTTATCTTGTATATATACTGCATTTAGAATTTGTTTTAGACTGCCTTTTTTTTCTTGTTAGGGGTGATAGCGGTCTTGTGATAAATATCACATTTAGAATTTGTTTTAGACTACCTTTTCCATTGTTAGGTAGCGACAGCAATCTTGATATATATATATATATATATATATATATATATATATATATATATATATATATATATATTACATTTAGAATTTGTTTTAGACTGCCTTTTCCCTTGTTAGGGAATGATTCGATCTTGTGATATATATATATATATATATATCATTTAGAATTTGTTCTTAATTATATTTGCATAATGTGGAAGAGTATATTTAACCTCTATTAAGTGTTGTTCTAAACTGCATTTCGGTTTTGTGCTAGACTGAATTACAGCCTTGTACACACTGTCTGTATTTTCAATAATAAGAAATCGTTTTCGTCACTGAAGACTAAAGCACTCTAGAATTTTTTTATTGCTTTATCTTTCATTGTATATAAAATGAATTTATAGATTTTTTATTGTGGATTTAAGATAGAAAAAAGCCTCGTTCATCAAAGTGACATTTTGTTTACTTCACTCAGGCTTTTATTACACTTTTACATAAGTGCTGCCCCATATAATTGCAGTCAACAAAGTTTGATTTACATCGTATCACGGGAAATACGAGACGAATTTACAAGATGAGACCAGAGGTTTTATACCAATCATTCCTTATTCGCCATCAAAGAATAATAGATAGGTTCGGAAAGTATCCAGCCGTTTTTAAGACCTCAGAACCCGGTTACGCTGCCTTGGCAACCAATCCAAAATCGAAGAGATTACAGGCTGATTGATTGGTTTGTAAGCTTTTTGGTTTATCACCCGTCTGGGCGTTATTTAAAGCCATAATATATGCGTATATCTTAAGTAGTTATTTTAGAGTGGATAATGATTTACAAGCCCTGCAAATTAACACATAGCTGGGGGAAGATGTGGTTTCATGCCTTTCTCAAGGGTAAATGTTTGTGCATGAATATAACGAACGCAACTGGAATTGGAATTCGGCACTCCGATTTCAAATTCGAAGCAGTTATCTATCATACACAACCTGCACATTCAAGCTTACGGCACCTGGTATTCCCAAGTGGCAGCCCCTCGAGGTACTGACCAGGTCCGACGTTGCTTAACTTCAGTGATCGTATGAGAATCGGTGTTTCAATGTGCTACAGCTGTAAGCCGAGAAACACATAATAATGATATTAATAATAATGAAAAATAATAATAGGAAGAATAAGAATAAGAAGAAAATGGGGACGAAAAATGAAAAAAAAGAAGATGAAAAAGAAGAAACTGAAGAAGAAATTGAATTAGATGAAATTGAAAGAAGAAGAGTAAGGGGGAGGAAGAGGAGGAAGAGGAGGAGGAGGAAGAGGAGGAGGAGGAAGAAGAGGAGGAGGAGGAAGAAGAATTTAAAGAAGAATTTGAAGAATTTGAAGAGAAATTCGAAAAGAAGAATTTGAAGAAGCATTTGAAGAAGAAGAATTTGAAGAAAAATTTGAAGAAGAATTTGACGAAGAAGACTTTGAAGAGGAAGAATTGGGAGAAGAAAAATTGGGAGAACAAAAATTTGAAGAATTTGAAGAAGAATTCGAAAAAGAAGAAGAATTTGAAGAAGCATTTGAAGAAGAAGAATTTGAAGAATCATTTAAACAAGAAGAATTTATAGAAGAATTTGACGAAGAAGAATTTGAAAAGGAAGAAGAATTTGAAGAATTTGAAAAGAAGAATTTGAAGAAGAATTTGAAGAAGAAGAATTTGAAAAAGAAGAATTTGACGAAGAAGAATTTGAAAAGGAAGAAGAATTTGAAGAATTTGAGAAGAAGAATTTGAAGAAGAATTTGAAGAAGAAGAATTTGAAGAAGAAGAATTTGAAAAAGAAGAATTTGACGAAGAAGAATTTGAAAAGGAAGAAGAATTTGAAGAATTTGAAAAGAAGAATTTGAAGAAGAATTTGAAGAAGAAGAATTTGAAGAAGAAGAATTTGAAAAAGAAGAATTTGACGAAGAAGAATTTGAAAAGGAAGAAGAATTTGAAGAATTTGAAAAGAAGAATTTGAAGAAGAAGAATTTGAAAAAGAAGAATTTGAAGAAGAATTTGACGAAGAAGAATTTGAAAAGGAAGAAGAATTTGAAGAATTTGAAAAGAAGAATTTGAAGAAGAATTTGAAGAAGAAGAATTTGAAAAAGAAGAATTTGATGAAGAAGAATTTGAAAAGGAAGAAGAATTTGAAAAGAAGAATTTGAAGAAGAATTTGAAGAAGAAGAATTTGAAAAAAAAGAATTTGACGAAGAAGAATTTGAAAAGGAAGAAGAATTTGAAGAATTTGAAAAGAAGAATTTGAAGAAGAATTTGAAGAAGAAGAATTTGAAGAAGAAGAATTTGAAGAAGAAGAATTTGACGAAGAAGAATTTGAAAAGGAAGAAGAATTTGAAGAATTTGAAAAGAAGAATTTGAAGAAGAATTTGAAGAAGAAGAATTTGAAAAAGAAGAATTTGAAGAAGAATTTGACGAAGAAGAATTTGAAAAGGAAGAAGAATTTGAAGAATTTGAAAAGAAGAATTTGAAGAAGAATTTGAAGAAGAAGAATTTGAAAAAGAAGAATTTGACGAAGAAGAATTTGAAAAGGAAGAAGAATTTGAAAAGAAGAATTTGAAGAAGAATTTGAAGAAGAAGAATTTGAAAAAGAAGAATTTGACGAAGAAGAATTTGAAAAGGAAGAAGAATTTGAAGAATTTGAAAAGAAGAATTTGAAGAAGAATTTGAAGAAGAAGAATTTGAAAAAGAAGAATTTGACGAAGAAGAATTTGAAAAGGAAGAAGAATTTGAAGAATTTGAAAAGAAGAATTTGAAGAAGAAGAATTTGAAAAAGAAGAATTTGACGAAGAAGAATTTGAAAAGGAAGAAGAATTTGAAGAATTTGAAAAGAAGAATTTGAAGAAGAATTTGAAGAAGAAGAATTTGAAGAAGAAGAATTTGAAAAAGAAGAATTTGACGAAGAAGAATTTGAAAAGGAAGAAGAATTTGAAAAGAAGAATTTGAAGAAGAATTTGAAGAAGAAGAATTTGAAAAAGAAGAATTTGAAGAAGAATTTGACGAAGAAGAATTTGAAAAGGAAGAAGAATTTGAAGAATTTGAAAAGAAGAATTTGAAGAAGAATTTGAAGAAGAAGAATTTGAAAAAGAAGAATTTGACGAAGAAGAATTTGAAAAGGAAGAAGAATTTGAAAAGAAGGAAGAAGAATTTGAAGAAGAAGAATTTGAAAAGAAGAATTTGAAGAAGAATTTGAAAAGAAGAAGAATTTGAAGAATTTGAAAAGAAGAATTTGAAGAAGAATTTGAAGAAGAAGAATTTGAAGAAGAATAATTTGAAGAAGAATTTGACGAAGAAGAATTTGAAAAGGAAGAAGAATTTGAAGAATTTGAAAAGAAGAATTTGAAGAAGAATTTGAAGAAGAAGAATTTGAAAAAGAAGAATTTGACGAAGAAGAATTTGAAAAGGAAGAAGAATTTGAAGAATTTGAAAAGAAGAATTTGAAGAAGAATTTGAAGAAGAAGAATTTGAAAAAGAAGAATTTGACGAAGAAGAATTTGAAAAGGAAGAAGAATTTGAAAAGAAGAATTTGAAGAAGAATTTGAAGAAGAAGAATTTGAAAAAGAAGAATTTGACGAAGAAGAATTTGAAAAGGAAGAAGAATTTGAAGAATTTGAAAAGAAGAATTTGAAGAAGAATTTGAAGAAGAAGAATTTGAAGAAGAAGAATTTGAAGAAGAATTTGACGAAGAAGAATTTGAAAAGGAAGAAGAATTTGAAGAATTTGAAAAGAAGAATTTGAAGAAGAATTTGAAGAAGAAGAATTTGAAAAAGAAGAATTTGAAGAAGAATTTGACGAAGAAGAATTTGAAAAGGAAGAAGAAAGGAAAAGAATTTGAAAAAAGAAGAATTTGAAGAAGAATTTGAAGAAGAAGAATTTGAAAAGAAGAATTTGAAAAGAAGAATTTGAAAAGGAAAGAATTTGAAAAGAAGAATTTGAAGAAGAATTTGAAGAAGAAGAATTTGACGAAGAAGAATTTGACGAAGAAGAATTTGAAAAGGAAGAATTTGAAGAATTTGAAAAGAAGAATTTGAAGAAGAATTTGAAGAAGAAGAATTTGAAGAAGAAGAATTTGAAGAAGAATTTGACGAAGAAGAATTTGAAAAGGAAGAAGAATTTGAAAAATTTGAAAAGAAGAATTTGAAGAAGAATTTGAAGAAGAAGAATTTGAAAAAGAAGAATTTGAAGAAGAATTTGACGAAGAAGAATTTGAAAAGGAAAAAGAATTTGAAGAATTTGAAAAGAAGAATTTGAAGAAGAATTTGAAAAAGAAGAATTTGAAAAAGAAGAATTTGACGAAGAAGAATTTGAAAAGGAAGAAGAATTTGAAAAGAAGAATTTGAACGAAGAAAAAAGAAAGGAAGAAGAATTTGAAAAGAAGAATTTGAAGAAGAATTTGAAGAAGAAGAATTTGAAAAGAAGAATTTGAAAGAAGAAGAATTTGAAAAGGAAGAAGAATTTGAAGAATTTGAGAAGAAGAATTTGAAGAAGAATTTGAAGAAGAAGAATTTGAAGAAGAATTTGACGAAGAAGAATTTGAAAAGGAAGAAGAAGAAGAATTTGAAAAGAAGATTTGAGAAGAAGAATTTGAAGAAGAAGAATTTGAAAAAGAAGAATTTGAAGAAGAATTTGACGAAGAAGAATTTGAAAAGGAAGAAGAAGAAGAATTTGAAAAGAAGAATTTGAAGAAGAAAAAGAAGAATTTGAAAAAAGAAGAATTTGACGAAGAAGAATTTGAAAAGAAGAAGAATTTGAAAAGAAGAAGAAGAAGAATTTGAAGAAGAAGAATTTGAAAAGAAGAATTTGAAAAAAGAATTTGAAGAAGAAAATTTGAAAAGGAAGAAAATTTGAAGAAAAAGCAGAATTTGAAGAAGAATTTGAAGAAGAAGAATTTGAAAAAGAAGAATTTGAAGAAGAAGAATTTGAAAAAGAAGAATTTGAAGAAGAAAAATTGGGAGAAGAAAAATTTGAAGAAGCAGAATTTGAAGAATTTGAAGGCGAAGTATTTGAAGAATTTGTAGAAAAAGAATTTGATGAAGAAGAATTTGAAGAAGAAGAAGAAGAAGAAGAAGAAGAAGAAGAAGAAGAAGAACTCTTTTAGAGCAAAGATCCCCCCTCTCAGTGATTATATCAACTAATCAATAATTATACATAAAGAAATTCAGGTCAGAGTTAAGAAAACGAAGCTGTTTGGAGTCAGTCTTCAGACTAATTAATACAGGCATTATGGCGAGTTGCCAAAGCATTACATATATTATAAGCGCCATGCAACGCGTTATAATAGTGGCGGCGAGGTGTTCGAATTTCAGGCGATTGATGACTTATAACAATAATGAGTATTCAGTAACTCATACAAGTTGCAATTGGAGTTACAAGGATTTTGGAAACTCGTCCTGAGTGAACAAGTAGGGAAAAAAATCGGAAATAAGGATATGAGTGACGATAATAATTTTAAGCACACCAGGTCATTTTTTTTTTTCTAGAAGAACATTTTTTTCTTTTTCTTTTCGGTGTAGGAATAATCACATATTCTTGCGAATATGGAGCAAATTTTGGCCTCGGTGGTCGAAATTCAACACTAACAACAGAAACAGCAGCAACAAAATCAAAATTTGCTAGAACTACAAAAACAGCAACAGGATATTGTTGGATATAGTTCGGAAGAAAACAAGATTTCTTCAACGCCACTTACACCAGACGCTTTTCAAAACACCAAATCAGAATTTGCATAGAATCCTTTTTTCTGTGTATTTTCGTAGATATGAACAAATATACAGTCAGTAATGCAGTAGCTCAGAAGATGAGAGAAAAACGACATTGTTGTTGAGGAAAATAGCTCCGATAGTATATGAAAAATACTCCAGCAACATATTACCGAAAAAAAAACCCAGGTGAAATCGGGCTTGAAAAAACGGCACACGTTCTGATGAAAATCTTTAGTGACAAGAGCTCTCTGTTTAATGCTGTTTAGAGTTGCTTGAATCTAACGAAAAAAGAGGAGAGGGATTTTGTTAGGCATTCGGGTATCGTCAACAAAGAATGTGAAAAGTTTACAATAAAGGAAATATGACAAAAGGGTTAATTTTCATTTACGGTTTAACAGCTAAAACGATGCTGAAATACGAGCGAACATTTTAACGAAAATTGAACAAAACTGTAATATTACACTGCAAGAAACAGTGGACGATTGCCAGACAATTTTAAGTCTGAAGAACGATGCCAAAAAAATTCAGAAAACAAGAAGCATATTGGTACAGGCAAAGTACAAATGTAGAAAAAAAAGAATACATCCTTTTTAGATGTGATAAATTACATTTAAAAAGGCAGAATGTTAAAAGTGTGGTAAACAAAGAAAATATAAAGTCACAGCAAAACCAAAACACGGAGAAATTATCACAGGAAGAAATTCGTACACAGTATTGCGACGGAAAAAATGGTCAGAGAAAGCAAAAGGAAATTTATGAAAATAAATAATATGGATTTGAAAATGCTACTGGACACTTGTAGTGATACTTCTATAATCAGTGA